TCGTTTGATCCTGGAAGGTGATTCGAAGGTGGTGGTTAGTTGGTTGAAGACAGAGGACAGTGGTTTGTGGAACTTTAACAATGAAAAAAAAAAAAAAAAAAAAACAGTTCTTATGGCTGGGTAGGGACATTGAGATTCAGTACAGCTGGGTGAAGAGGAGTGCCAACTCCTTTGCGGATGGGTTGGCCAAGCAAGGAGTGAATAGGGAGTATGTTTTTTGGGCTAGTTTTTAATCTTTTCTCTTTGCATTCTCTTTGTTTTCTGTTTTTGGGGAGCTAAGATATTTTATCTCCCCTTTTGTATACATATTCCCTCTTTTCTTTTAATTTAATGAAGCTGGTGTTATTGATAAAAAAATGGATATGGCTTTAAATAGAATGGATTGGCAAAAGAGGATTCATGTAGCCAACCCCATATAGTTGGGATAAGGCAGATATTATTAGAGAAATCAAGTTTAGTTTGTTCTCATGTGGAACTAGGATACAACTTCTTTTCTCTTTATGGAGTTCATACGTAGTTGATGAGGCCCCTTAAAGTTTTGAATGATGAAAAGAGGCCTTTTACGTTAAGTCACCAGGGCTTTTATTCTTGTGACAAAAACCCAAGTAGTTATAAGTAGGTAATATGTGTCAACTAAACGAGAATTCCTTACTCATTAAGAAATATTTAAGTCTTCCAGATTAGTCTCTTTTTCTAGAACCAAAAGGGCTCCGACCAGTGTTACATTTTTTTATCAGAAAACTGAGAATTTTATTCAATTAAAAATTAAAATAGAGTTACATCAGAAAAAGTGAATACAATTCAACAGAAAATGTTACGTTAAAGCCCAAAAAAAAGCTGTTGCCTTTGAACACCCTGTTTAGCTAGAGAGTCAGCCATTCCATTTGCAGTTCTCTTGACCCATGTAAATGAGGCATTAAGTTCCCTTGTTATGATTACTATCTCCCTTACTGGATGTCTGTAGTTCCAAGTAACATTACTGCTTGAATTGGTCCAAGATATCACTGTTTTTGAGTCCCCTTCTATCTCCAAGTTCTTAAGATCAGCTTGCTTGGCAATCTTTAGCCCTTGCAGCAGGGCTACCAGTTCAGCTTTTAAGGAGTCTCCTTCCCCTAAAGGTCCCAAGTACAAAGCCAATACTTTGCTTGAGGAATCTCTAATTACACCACCAATGCCTGCCATACCTGGGTTCCCTATAGATCTCCCATCAAAGTTCAGCTTTAACTTGTTGGGGCCTGGGGGCTTCCATTCCATCACTTTTCTTTCTTTCTTCTCAGCAGTGTGTGCTACTTCATTCCAGGCTCTTACAGTATCAGTAATTGAGATATTTTGAAAGAGCTGGAGTGATTTTACCCAGTGAGCAACTTTTATCTTTATGGCCTCCACAATAGCCTCTTTTGGCCTATGCTTCTCATTGAAAAAAAAAAAAAAAAA